TGTTGAGAGGAGTTTTTGGCATGCCGATGAGATATCAACACTCAGATGACCCCATCAACTTTGAACTTTTTGCTGCAAACCAGTCCTTCTGTGCAGGTTGAATCTTCTTCGCCTTTTCCGTTTAACACTGCCGACATCATCAACATGCTTACTCTCAGGATTGCTTGGACGACAAAACACGCGAAAAGGCACCACCTATTCCTGGGTTCTTGTGCCAATCTCCAGGATGGTTTGGGTTAATGTTGACGTCAGAGTTAAGGTATGCGTTAGGGTTAGCGCTAGGACTATAATGGGGATACGGAAATATTTATCCATATTGGAATTGTACAAAATACCACCTGTATTACGAGGGGGTTCCTGTTGTCGTGTCTTACTGTTTAAATTGCTGAAAGAACTCGCATTTAATTGTCTTAGCCGCCCGCAGAAGCTCACATTTACCAAATTTCTGCGAAATTAATGGCTGTTTGAGACGTACTGTCATTAAGGTCTTTGGGCGATGCCGTAAGCATCAGTGCATTTGACGTAGCCGCAGCGTTTCGAATACTATTTTTAGGACTCTGTGGTTGGCATTGAGCCATGTCCATAAAGGTGGAACATGACACAGCTTCATTTGGAAACCTTAGACTACCATCTGCTATGGGCTGCAGCAAAAGCAAGCGTTTTATTTTCTGCTCTGGAGGCCACTTCATGCGCGCTCTCTCTTAGACATTTGAAGGACAGGGAGTTTAATTTAGATAATCTGCGTCCAGAAGAAGTAGACTCATCCTAAATGGCAAACCTTTTGGAAACATGACTCTATTTATACTCCCTCTTTACTCTCGGTCCTATCGGAGCGGAGATTTGCGATTTTTTGTCAAAAATAAGCTTTGGCCTTCACAGCTATAAAGAGTAGTCGGAACATTTCACGCTGCCGAGCGTCAAAGGCCGACGCTTCTCGGAGTTCTTGCCTTTTGGCTCCTATCAAGGGCCAAACTGTTTATAAGAAAAACCTAAGCAATCAGAAGATAGTTGATCGTTTTTCAAGATGCCTCGGATTATCGACAGGACAAGCACAATTTCTATTCATTCCCCATCCGGAAAAGCTATCAACGTTTTAAAGGCCGATTATTTATAATTTGATATAAGCTTAATGGCTACACAGGCGTCAGCCCTTAGTCGGTGTGAGCTATGCCAGTGTTTCTGACTTGTCACTCCTCCCCCTCTCTAGTTCGTTCCGCCTTCCCCCCTAACCCGCGAAACTAGCGCTTCTAAAACACCTGTAGATCACTCGCGGTGGGACGGAACTCTGTTCACGCCTTTTTGACGAACAGCCTGTCAACTAGCGGCATGGAGTGTAACAGGGATAAGAAGTGATATTTCACCACTCTTGGTGTGATCTTGTCAGCTTATCAGGGGGGAGGGGGCGCCATGTAATTTACTAACAGGAGTGAGCGACCGATAGGGAGTGTATTCCACCCCGGTTTCGTCAAAACGGCCGCCAAGTCAGTAGAGTTTTCGTTGTAGCAAACTCTCTCAACATTTGTGAGTGATAATAGAACTTCTGAGTCTTTAGGGCTTAGAGAGTGAGCCTAGAAAAGTGTTGGAGCAAAATGACTGAATGACCGACATGTAAACCTGTGCCTATCATGCTGTTTGAAGATTTCATCCATCCCGAGAGCACAGACGGAATCTGGATCAGACTGGTGGTTCAGTCGAATATTGTCAAAACTATGGTGCCATTGGCGGGATGGACCGTTCCACTCGTAGGCAACCCAGCTGCTTTGACTGAACCTGCTGAAATACAGGACTATGGAGTGGAAGTCGGGTCAGTCGGTTTGTTCGCTTCAGTGGCAGTCAATGCAGTCCTCAACGGCCACAATCGACCTTCATTTGACGACACAGCAGTTCTGCGCAGATACAATCATTAAGGCTTATACTCGTCGTACAGGTGGCTATTTGGCGGCTGCACTGTAGACTCTACAAAAGAGTTAAAATAATCCAGCAGCACCCTTATTTATTGGCCAGGTTTCGTGAAGTACGGAGGAGGTTTATAAGGTCCCGATAAGACACGAAAAAATGGAACCCCGGTAAGGGTAGGGTGAAGGAACCCAAGCACCTGTCACATACAAAGAATGCCTACTATACTTACTTAAGTGGGTTTTAGTCCGACACGATTATTTCGGTTTGGTGTTTCATCGTTCAAGGATGGTCGTCTGCTGTAGACAGTCTGGTGCATTATCTACAGTGAACTCGGCTCAGAGACTTGAGAAGCGATCGCTGTAGACATTTAGTGTTTATTTATTTGATTGCCCTGCTTAATTTCGGTTGCTAGATGTCAATGCATTAAAACCTTTCCACCCGAAAGACGAATTTACCGATTATCTATACTTTGCTATTCCTCTCTGCATACATAGGCCCTGTCCATAAAACCCAAATTACCAGCTTTCCCGTAAGACAGGCTCCTTTGGCTGTGTGTGTATGTGTGCTTGGGGTCCTTCACCCTATCTTTGCCGAACCCCCCTGTAATAAAGGTGGCTTTGGGCTGAATTCCAGCATAGATACCCATTCCCGTGTTATAATCCCAACCCTGGACGAAGCCCGAAATTTAGCCCTAACCCGAATCTCCCTGCAATCTAGCGTAGGGCGAACTGCATTACTGCGGGTTTGTATTCTCGTGTCCTATCAATGCTATTAATAAAACATTTATGCAGAGCTGAGGAAGGCTGTGTCGACATATTTTCTTCAAAATCCCCTACAAATACGGTCATATTTATAAAGGGAAAATTTCGTCAGACTCTCACTAGGGTCCCAGTGCTCGGCTGGGTCCTTTTAAATAGTCATCAGTTAAATTAAAGACGATGACAGTTAAAATATCCTTTCAAGTAGGACCGAACAATCGTGAAATGAAGGAAAACGATTTTTTGACAAAGATAATGTCTGCGTTGATTGGAAGCATGTGCTGCAAGTCTCTATAGAGGCTCATCTGGGACCTGTTGAGTTTACTGGAAGTCCTAGTTCTGGACGAACTCGAGACCCGAGGACCAGTAGGGTAACGGAACTACCGGACGAAAACCCAACCCAATTGGCTGTTAAATCTTCGAAAGACAAGAACTGGACAATAAATATGATTTCGGCTTCTTAACATAACTTAACAACGGTAGAGGGCCGGAAATCGGGCCGTGGATAACCTTCAGGATTCTGAATTCCCTAGCCACTCGCACGTATGTTTTACTTCCTCGCCAACAAAGGTTTTGGCGCTCTAAGGAATGACGATGAGCCCAAAAATTACCGCGATTAGGAGACTTACTTTGGCTAACCAACAATACTCAATTCCACATCGACAAGACCTAGCGTGTCAACACGAAACAATAGCATGTGTCAGAAAATTAACGATACGCCTATTCTCATTAGACACGCTGAGTCATGTCTAAATAAATAAGAGGACCCTTGGGGATTACATGTGCCATAAACTTATACAGTCGTTAAATGAGGCGCCGCTGCAATCCAGTAAGAGAAGCAATCTTCCTGGATGCGGACCGGGAAACTCTTCCGAACATGACGTATTCAGCACTCAAAGAAACTTCCGGACATTACACGTCCCGGTTAAAATAGTAAACATTTACCTGATCACTCCGTATCACTCAATTAAAAAAGTGAATGTCACTATTTTGGCTTGTCGTAGTTTCCGGTCAACGTAAACATAATTATCAAGTTATTTTAAACAGATTGTAACCTCTACGTATTCACAGCCCATAAAATAAGATGGATTCGGTAATGTTCCTACTGGGTAGTCTGCAAACTTAGAATTTAACTGAAAAACATACAAACGTTCTCTGCGGTCTTCCCCACTTCGACTTCACTGCATAAATTTACCAGTCTCTCGAGAACGTGATTTACGTCTCTACAAGGATGTGTTTCTCCAGCAGTGACTGTAGGACAATAGACCGTCGAAAAGTGCAAAACATACTGTGAGGTCGACTACAGATAAACTCGTAAACTCCATCTAACCGCAAAAAATCATGACAATAATAGTTACCCCCCACCTGGCACTTTTCCAAACAACAGATTCATCAGTCCGGTAGTTCAGAAATCCTTGGGCAACCATACATAGGATAAATGAACAACTAGCCTCCAATGTTTCACTTATGACATCGCACGCAAAGCACTATCCGTAGATTTCCTAACCATCTCAAAAATATGCTGCTTACAAGACATATATGGCCAGATTAATCGAATTTAATTCTAGTCCTAAGGAACACTGCATTTGCCAAGAATGAGCCTATAAACAATGAACCTGTGCTTGCAGAGCCTTTCGGCGAAACAAGTGGCCACAGCACAGCGTTCTAGCCATGGAATGAGCTGTTTGCACGCGATAAGTGAATTCATTCCCATTCTTAGTCCAGGTTTATCGTTCTATCGGTGGTTCCTGTTATAATGCTGTTTTACTGTTTTAAAGTAAGTTGCCCAATCAAAGGTACAAGTAACTTGCTCACCACCGAAGAAACCTTAGGGTTTAGTTACCGCCCACTACCTATGTTCTATGCGACATAGCACTTATAGATGAGAGGCCATTAGTTTCGTTTTTGGCAGGCAGATCTAGTAACATTTCTTAAAGTAATTTATTAGGACTTCCTCATAAATACCTCCAGTAAAATGAAACAGCCGTTCAACAAGATGCGGCTGTGGCCGCGCCAAGCATATTTTGTTGTTGTTGGCGTAAAGTCCTGGAGATTTGCCGTGTGGTGTCACGCCAAGGTGCGGCTCCGTCCGTGCCAGCCACATGCGCCTTCCCCACCTCCGGTCTTCTTGACTATGTCTTGACACCGAGTCCAAGTGGGAGGTAGGGAGGAGAGTGCGGTAGATGCTGCGAAAGTCTACTGTCACTGTAAACCAATTCACGCCTAAGCCACCGTACCTGCCCCGCCCTGCAGTGGATCACACGGTGGACATCGTCGGTCACGATGGTCGAACCCTCGGGTGTGTGTGTGTGTGCTCGGAACCACGCAGTGTGCAGGCTGGCCATGGCCGCAGACAAAAAACACACGGACGAAACAATCAAAAGAGAAACAACAACAACAACACACTCTCTCTCCACTCCCTTCATTATCATCTTCTTTCTTCTTCTTCTTCTTCTTCTTCTTCTTCTTCTTCTTCTTCTTCTTCTTCTTCTTCTGCTTCCTCTTCTTCTTCTTCTCCCCGCCGCCCCTCTCGCCAGACTGAAAGGGTAAGTCCACTCACGCTGGCAGCCTGGAATGTTCGTTGGGCTTTAGACAATCGGGGGAGCAACCGACCGGAACATAGGACGCCGTTAGTGGCTCGAGAACTGGAGCGCTACAATTTGGACATCGCAGTACTCAGCGAGACCCGGTTCTCCGAACAAGGCCTACTGGAGGAGGTGGATGTCGTCTACACCTTCTTCTGGAGGGGTCGCAACAAGGTAGACCGACGGGACGCGGGTATCGCCTTTGCCATCCAGAACGACATGGTGGGACGACCGCCCCGTCTACCGCAGGGTATAAACGATCGCCCGATGAGCCTCCGCCTTCCACTCCAGGAAGGCAAATTTGCCACAATCGTCCGCGTCTACGCTCCCCCACCCCGATAATCGATCCTGACGAGGCGAGGAACAAATTCTACAGGGACTCGCACGTTCTCCAGGGCTCTGGGTTGAAGGCGGATAAGCTGACTGTCCTTGGTGACTTCAACATCCGCACAGGCACAGACCATGCTGCCTGCAGAGGAGTGCTGTGCTCCCATGGTCTCAACGGCTCCAATAACAATGGCCTCCTCCTACGAACCTACGGTGAACACCGGCTCATTCACACGAACACATTCTTCCGCCTCCCGATGCGAGAGAAGGCCACCCACATGCACCCTCGGTCGCGACACTGGCACCTGCTGGACCATGTCATCGTCCGGATGCGAGACTGGTGGGACGTGCTGGTGACAAAGGCGATCCCGGATGCCGACGGGTGGACCAACCGTCGTCTCGTCATCTCCAAGATGCGGATTCGTCTACAGCTTCGCAGGAGACCTCAAAGTAAGCAACCCTCAGGTAAGCTGAATATTGCCTTGTTGTCGCTGCTTGCTCACCATCTCCATTTTAACGATGAGCTAGCTCAACGACTAGACAACCTTCCAGTCGCTGCCGCCGCTGACGAGAACGCCTCCGTGGAGAACTGATGGTGTCAACTGCGCGACACAGTCTAGTCGACAGCCCTGGTTGTCCTCGGTCACGTGCGATGACAACATCAGGACTGGTTCAGTGGTAGCGGCGCGGCCAGCAGCAACCTGCTCGCCGAGGAGAACTGCCTGTACAAAGCCTACGTCGACCGCCCCACCGCTGGCAACAGAGCTGCTTTCTACCGTAGTCGCCGTGTTGTGCAACAGCGGCTGCGCGAGATGCAGGACGCCTGGATGGCTCACAAGACCGAGGAGATCCAAGGGTACGCGGACCGCAACAAATGGAAGAACTCCTTCGCTGCGACCAAAGCTGTCTACGGTTCGCCATCCAAAACAACTGAACCTCTTATCAGCGCCGACGGCAGCACCCTACTCACAGAGAAGACACGAATTCTTCAGCAATGGGCCGAGCACTTCCGAGGCGTCCTCAACCGCCCCTCCACCATCTCCGACGTCGTCATCGTCCATCTGCCGCATGTGAAGACCAACCTCGGCCTCGACCTCCCGCCCTCTCTCCACGAAACCATCAGGGTCGTGCAGGGCCCGGATCGGACGCGCTCTTTGCTGAGATCTATAAGCACGATGGCCCCCCACTCGTGGATCATCTGAGGGCGCTCTTCCAGGTGGTGTGGCGTCAAGGAGAAGTCCTGCAGGATTTCAGGGACGCCACAATCGTCCATCTATATAAGCGGAATGGTAACCGCCAGCTCCTTGCTGAACATCGATGGGAAGATGTTCGCTCGCATCCTTCTCGAGCCGGTGACGGAACTGATTGACGCGGCTGGCCATTAGTTGAGCTAAGGTATTGGAATCCTTTTATTTAGGACAAATCACAATTGACTATACCGGCCAGGTTCGCGTTTGATTTCCACACCGCTAGAAGGAGCGTCGGCATATTGCAGGTATCTGGTCAGCGAAATGGTTTGCCTGAGTTTCCAAGTCTGAATGCCTAAATCAATGTGGGGACAAGACATTGGAGAAAATGATAATTGCACTCCGAACGGCAGACCATATGCTTCAGGCTAAATGTCCACTGTTCATTGAGCTCTCAACAAAAATGGTCAGAACGGCGGAATTCTGGAGTCTAGAGATACTAGTTTGTCTTTGGCGCCTGCATAGACAGGGAGTTTTCGATTACGTTTAGCAAAGTCCATTGAAAAATGAAGTATACTATAGGGCTTTAAGCGCCTTTACTCCATCGACAGCCTGCGCATATAAACTACCGTCTTTCAGCTTTGTCATGGAATTAAATGGGGATGGCAGATTTGGCACAAAAGAACCGCAGTATTATGTAGGTAAAGATCTAATGACTCCAAAAAGCAGGCGACACCAGACGCCATTGAGGGTAATTTGACCTATACAGAATCCGTCCACAAGGTTATGTGGTGCAGATAATTGAACATTTTGAAGTAAAAGCTTGTTAAAGAGAGGTCAGAGTACAATTAATGGCGAAAAACATCACGGTCAGATGACTTTAGTGTCGGTCAAACGCATTGCTGTGGTTATCGTTAAGCCATGGTGGTAAGGCCAGTGTGCATACCGTGCCCGGAGGGTTCGATTTTATTTACTCGATTATACCAGTCTCGTCTCCCCGCCTTTGGAGTTGAAAAACACGACAGCCCGAAATTCCACTACAGTCGTTCACAGACGCGGCGCATTTCAAATTCCGAGGAGTCCTTACAATATATACAACCAATCATCAATCGTCTAAATCTTCCTCGAGCGGCTTAGCACACCCGAAAGTGATCGAATCGGGAGCATTTTGGGGCGACACGGCACCTAGATTGAGTTCGGTGCATGTAGCGGGGATACACCGCTGCCTTAGGATAAGGTGAATCCATACTAACAGCACAGGTACTAGCCAAGAGCCAATTTACGCGTTTCGCCGATAGTCTAAGCTGCATGACAGCTACGAGGGATTTGACTCGTCAGTGGGTCTCCCAGCATTCCCCATCTACTCCAATTTAGAAATTGTAGCCTTTTTATTTCCTTAGAAATTAATTGCGAACTTGGAGTAGATCAGTATATTTAAGGTCTATGGGCCCAGACCCAAGTTTTTGTGTATATTTGGGCCGAAGTCCACCAGCCACAGCGGATACCCTCGTAATATAAATTAACTGCTGACAGGCAGCTAGTAGTATACTTTGGGGTAAGGTGATTCCGTACTAACAGCACACACAAACCGCTGCGTGTCACAAAATAACACCCGGACCCGCCAAAAAAGACTAGGGGCAGTTGGGCCGAAATATAAGGATCCGCGGAGCGCTCCTCAGATATTCCTGGCTCTTTCGTCTAGTAGCTGGCACCTGGCAATTTTTGACAGACTGCGATGTTAATGGAGACTTCATCGCTACTCGGTCGGCGTAATTGAAGCACCACCATAACCTGACGACTCGTCACCAATTATTTCCCTCCAGGAGGTGAGCTCTGCCCTGTCCTAGCCTGTCTTTTCGTGACATCCTCCCGGGGTTACGCAACCGGGCGCCCAGAGAGGCGGAACCTCACCGACGTCAACAATATGAACAAATCGTGTTTCATAACCCTTGCGCCCAGGCTAAATGATGTAGGATCCTTGTTGATGACTCTAGCTTGGTCACAATTTTGCTGCCTTAGAGGCAAGTTAAAACGTGGAACCTAAAGGCCTTAGGGTAGTGCTTCTCATATCATTGCAAAATTTGTGATTCAAGGACGGGACCAAACCGAGTTCCGAACTCCGTGACAGTTAATGGCAACCGACGGCCGTCTTCCGTTGCGGCTCTCGGTTCCCTTAGTCGCCAGTCTGTGTGGTCAAAAGTACTTGCGATCAAGGTGTACCACCAGCAAAATACTGAGCGAGCTCCCGTTCCAACACAACCGTTAACCTATAAGATGCACCGGCTTCGTCATGAACGAGACAACCCGCATTCGTTGCGATGAAATCTCACTGAGTGCCTTTGGGCGTTAAACAATAAAACATATTATATCTCAGATTACCAAAGAAGACAGTTAAAGTGGTCTGTGCACGATCTTCGTCGTCCGCCCCATGTATATTACTGCTGCTCTAAATGAGATGCCACTGCCTAACTTGAGGTGGCGAGGTCAGATCAAAACCCGACTCGGCTCAGGCCGTGTTCTATAATTCGTCGCTGTATAAGTGAGTAGGCGAGCATTCGCGATCTGCTGATTGTTGAGTATAGAAAAATACCAGTCGCGACCTTGTTGCGAACGGATTGATTAGACATGATCACAGTCGTACCAAGCACAAGTATAATCCAACTCCACACCTGTATTGTGAGCAAATGCATCACCTTACCTGAAAGCGAGGATAAACAAATACAGTACTAGAGACGGGCAGAAATGGGAGGAAGGTCGAGAAGGAGGAAAGAAATGGAGTGATCTGGACAGCCTATCTTTATATAGCTGGACAGCAGCACGCAAGAAACCAACTGGAAGTGAAGGCAGCGAGGTGATCAGGCACGTGAAAAAGTACCACCTGTAATTCACCAACTCCAACTCAAAATGTCGAAAACACTACAAAGGATATGTAAAAAACGTTTTTAAGAAAAAAAGCAACTTTAAAGAACGGAAAAGTTACAAGGAAAGACGTCATACAGGGGTGGTAGACATCAACACTGCCTGGTGTTGAGCTACCTAAACGTTAATGATGGGCCCCCAATGCAAGTCTGCTGTGGCCTGAGTCGCGCTGCAAATGCCAAGTCAGAGAGGCGAAGAAGAAGAAGAAGAAGACAAGTGAATGTTCTGCGCGATCCACGGGCAGAAGTGTGGTGGCAGGCCTCAGCACTTGTGAAGCAAAAGAGGTTGTTCCAGCCGGAATCTTCAGCACACAAGAGAAGGGTGCACCGAGGCAGGCTGGTAGTGAGATGGCTGATTGGAGGACGGGGGCAAGATGTCAAAATCAGAATGTTGAGGGAAGGCGTGAGATTAAGTAGGAGGATCGCGTATTGCGATGGTGGGAAGCTGGCCACGCGATAAGTCCTTCTAGGTCAGCAGGCTTGCACCGGTAGTGGCCTACTTCTCCCATGGCGCACCGATGACGACGAAATCCTGACGGTTATTATGTACAGCTCCATCCGAAGTTTCTGTTTCTGGCAAGCGGATCATCTAGAAGCAGAACCACCATCCATTCGATAAAGGGCATTTAAGAAGAATAAAAATAAATGGAGAAAATAATTAACAGGTGCAACTTTAATCGCCTTCAGAAGCCCTTAAGGGTCTGAGCACGGACGGGAAGGGCCAAAAAATCTATATAACGATTGAACAGTCCTGGTTTTCTGCATCAAGATCTTATCGCGGCGCAAAATACAACTCTGGGTCGCTATGTGATGACTACGAACTCCCTGACGAGTGGACTGTAATAATCTAAGAAAAAGAAGAACGACACTTGTCAGCTGCCATATTAGGAGTCAGCTGTTGTACGTCGGACGATGGACTCATAAGGTCACATTGAATGATATTATCGGATTCCGACAAGTCAACTTTATTTAAAAAGTACACGGGACTCGAAAATCTGAATCTACTCATTGGTGTTAATAGTTTAACCAACTGGCGGCACTAGAGAAGTGCACATATCCTTTAGGCGTGCAATAGAACAGAAATGCAAGAGTGAAAATTTACTACGGTCCGAAGACTAGCACGGTTATTAGAGATCACCTGAAAAAATGTGCGCGATATAGAGAAGACTTTGTAATATCCGCAGGGTGAAGCGGTTTACAAAATTCGAATGAACGGGGACACCGGATTTTATGAAATCAACACCATAAACTGGGATTTGGCTCAGAATATGCACTTACGCTTTTGTCGTCAAGCGGTGGGAATTCAAAAAACCAATCTGCATTAAGGTACTATCTTTAAATGCAAAAGAACGTTCCATTACATACAAGATCATTTGCTCGATTGATCAAGTCGTCGCAGGCACCATCAACATCTGAAGGATCACCCATGACCAGGACGATGTCTGCAGCTTCCCCGGTCGTTCCCCGGGGAGGGAACTCGACATCAACAGAGTATGCTTCTTCCAGACGGTGAATATGGCTCCGCCTTGTGCCTATGAGGCGTGAATGAATCTACAGGGAGAGGATATATAGTTAGCTTCTGGAAGAATATAATATCTATTCTCATAGATGCGCAGACACAGCCTAGATTTTAGATCCGATCTTTGCGCAAAAACACCAGCCAAGGCAACCGAAACTTATTACGGCTTATTCCAATTCAGAGTCAATAACAGAACACAGGATATAAGGACAAGTTATCTGCTTAATTCGGCAAACCAGGCGCGACGGGCCAAAGGGTAGTACTATGCAACTAGCGCAACACTCAAACTACCCGAAGAATTTGGTTTTTTGTCGTGCAATGTCCATTTGCGGCAAAATGACGCTGTCCTGGAGGTAACTCAAAAAAATCACGATCCTGCAAGCCGTCAGTAAGGATGATACATAAAGTATCTACTGTGGGCGCGGGGATCATTCGTTTACTCATTTTATTTGCAGCGGAAAATGATATGTATTGCAGGCAAGGTCACTCGGACGAAAATTGGGGACACAAAATTACGTCTTGGATGGCCTCTTGCACATTTGGTGTTAATTTCTGTAGTTATGATACAAATGTGCTTATGAGACTGTAGTTTCTACAAGGCTATTTCCCGCGCTTTTTGAAGAGCGGTCTAGCGACAGCATCGCTCCAGTCTTTTATACCAAAGAAATCAAAGGTTAAACTCTGTACACATAAGAGGATGTGTAAACTATCTAAGATAAAGTATCTAATGAATGTTAATTTACCCAGCTGTTGGCGTGAGTGCGTCTTCAAGAATGAGAGCATTGCAACAATACTCCCAAACAATTAATGTTTAAACTGACGTCTCTAGGAACAGCCCACGAGGTGGCTGGTCTGAGATCGCCCCGATTCGATACACTCCCAAAATGGTCGGTCAAAAAGCTGGCAGGCGAACCACAAGACCGGGAGCTTTTTTGCTGAGAGCAACCTCGCTCAGAGAAGCACTGGCGAACCCATCAATGATAGGTCTATGAGGATGGACCTTTGACAAAGATATTTTAAGGATGTCTGAAACCAAAAACTCTCAACACCCCTCTCCTCTGTCCAACTGTCGCCCTGGTTATATCTTGTGGTTCTACTGCGTTGTGCATGCCGCCGACGTTCGAAGACGCAGGAGTAATCAAGATTTCAAATGTAAAGCCTCTGGAGAGACAGAATTGTTAGCATAAATCTGTAAGATCGGTTGAAATGCTATACAACAGTGTATATTAAAGGCAGGGACAGATGACTGGAGTTCTGTCACCATGCAGTCACAGCCGCTTTGTTGCCACCGTCAAAAGTTGTATGACTGTCTTTCTGAGACCAGACAAACCGACGTCGCCAAAGAAATATAAATTTATTATATCTCCGTTTCCGACGGATTGCCTAGTTCCGCATATTCTACAGGAAATCGAGAACTACTAGCTTCAGCGACCCTAGTGTAGCGTTCCGTCCAATGTACGACACGTTTTGGCAAGTAATGAGTGGAAGAACACATGGCGAGCTTATCGCGCTGAATAGGACTTATTGCCAGGCCAATCGAACCGAAAACCTGAGTCGGGATTATCCGATTCGTTCTTGCCGAGATCAAGTCTATTCCCTCGAGCTTGCAGTGAGGTGCCGGTCGACTGAGTCCGACTACGTTGACGATGTCGCCCTTGTCGTATCAAGCTATAATGACGTATAATGTGATGTAGCTAAACCAGTCACCCGAACCATAAATACTAGGAAGGTAAAAGTTTGTGAGCTGCATTTATGACCAGAAGGCACTCCAGAGATTGGTGGCTGTCAGCTTAGAGGAGTAGACAGTTCCAAATACCTCAGAGGCTTTTGTTGAATGGATAGTGAGGACGTTGTCTCCCGGATCGATGTTGCTCGTGGGATTTTTATTGCCTTTAGGTGTCTGTAAAGTCGACGCAGTGTCTTCAACGACACAGAGATCTGTGTACACCGACCAATCTTTTTACAAAGTTGTGAATATTGGGCTGTGCGCGTGGAAGACGAGGATCGAGTTGGGATAGCTGATCACTACTCTGAGAACCATAATTCCAACGAAGTACACCGGCTCTGTCTCGAAGAAGACAGTTCGTAATCGCTGTGACATCACGAGACCATCCAATAAAAATGGCCGAGGAGGTTTGGGCTCGTCCGTCCTATAAGTTCAGTGTTGCTGCCCTCAGCTCGTCGTCATTGTCCACCTGGAGGTGTCCAAGTCAACTGAGATCTGACTCTACACAATACGTCAAGGAGTAGAGATAATACTCTGACCTTCAGAGTTCGGTCTCCGTTGCTGGGGCATGGGCTGGTCGCTTTCCAAATCGCAAATGACAACGTGAATGGACTTCTCGTTGGAGTAACTAGAAACTGCCGGATTACTTGCTCGAAAAAGAGCGAGAGCATCACGACCTACCGAGCTGCCGACGAGAGTCACGCGCAATTCACCGCTGCAACCTCGGGATTGTAGCGGTCCTTGTCAATTGCGACGGGGGAATTAACATGTGAGTGGGAGACAAAAGCCCGAAAGTTCTAACCCACGGTAGCCTGAAAAGTGTCCTTCGGCCAGAGCATACGGACAGCTCAAATGCGACAGTTTGTTCGTTGTAACATTCCAAGGACATATCAGGTCGTGCTAGAAGAACTCTGGAGTGGTGTGTACGTTTGCAGTCGCCTGCACCATGCAGTCAATGACTTCGCTCTAAACACAACTTCTTTCCAAGAGTGGAAGCAGTCTAGGAGTGGACAGCTTAGCATTTGGCTTGACAGACCCTCAGGATCTCAAGCTAACTCGGAGTTCTTTAAGGTTTCGCCTATATCATTGGCAGAGACAGGAGAATGTAATTAATTCACCGGGTACTTCGTCGCCAACCGTCATGTATGCGGAGACTGAAGGTTAGTCATAACTACGGTTGATTTGATCAGTCGCGATCGCAGCCGCACCTAGTGTGGAACAAAGGACGCACTAACATCTCGAATAAGAGGTGCTCAAACTGAGGAAACTTGAAGTTTTTTTGGGTGATTCGAGTAATGTAAGCAGGGCTGAAGAGGAAAGACCTAACTAAGACCGCTCTAAATCCTTAACAGTATTCTCCGGAAACGACACCAGGGTGGCTAGCAAAAACAGTGGTTAGACAGCTCATAAGGACTTCAGAAAAGAATCAGTCCGACAATGCACAGCGTTAAACTCGACAAATCGTCCCCAAATCCCCCCATAAAATGTCATACATAGAAGGGTCAAATCATAGATAACTTTGAGGCCAGCTCTACTATCAATGGTCGTAACCGTTAGAAGCGTTTAATTTGAGGTCTGGAGAGTTTGAAACAATTACAACGGATACATGGGGATGCATAAATTCACCTGCTCTCAAACAATTAAACAGACGCCGGTTATTAAGTTCGCAGGTCTGAAGTGCCTCCTTTGCTTGGGCTTTAGCACCCACACCTGATCTCCCGAACCAGCAGACAATTAAAGAACGGAGTACGGACCAAAGAAGACTAAAAAAGCCGTCTTTCGAATTATCTTTGTGGGAAGACAGAACCTCAGCATGGATACCCGAGAACGAGACCAGAGATGGGGCGCAGCGTTCCGTCTGCTCAGCGGCTTTGCCTGTTGCAATATGATCTAGTGGTCAACAATGTCCACGCACGCGACAAGCAAGACTGGTCCCGTAATCAGGTATGACATGCACTTCAAATACGTTGGACATTAAGAAATACGGATGATTGAGCATGAGGCTGTGGCTGCTATCAAAGTCCAGAATTTAGGATTAAATCACAAATATTTTCAAGTTGGGAACAAGGTGTGACTCAGTAAAGGCGAAAGCGAGCCTGAAATGGCCATCCCAGTATGACCTTCCATGTCTCTTCACTTTCCAAAATGAGTAGAATTCAGTCGGAATTCACAATAAAGAGACGGTTTTAACACAAATCACAGTCGCGAGTAGATCGAGGTGCGAAGGCTACCAGGGCAATTGCAGGTTGCCCACGTGGTCTAACTGATCGCATAGGTCTGGTGTCTCCCGCCGTATGTAGGCTACTTCCAAGTGGTGCAAGGTTCGAGGTGTACGCGCTCGGACAATTACTCGAAAAGCTGTTTTAAGGTCGACAACATGACCGCTATCTAACAGGTGTTTCTTTATAGACGAACGAGGAGTTTTGTTTTCTTGTTTGAAAAGCCAATTAGGCAAGTGTTCGGCGGCCCTGGTTGCCAATTGCCTTTGCGTTCGCCCAATGCACCTGCATCCGCAAGTGCATGTGAATTCGTACACGCAATTCGGAGTGGCGTGCATCGGCAAGGTATCCTTTGCGCGGTTAATTGGAAGAAAGGTTGTAAAGATATCGACTAAAAAAGTCTGAGCGCCAACACATAAAAATTGAGTAGAAAAGTCGACTGGTAATTGCGTACAATCGATGCCACATACCTTCGAGGGAATATGCAGTTGTTCACAGACGAAGGTAGCACATTTTTCCAGAAGGGTCTCTAGCTCCTTGCGGGCAGCCTCAACTTTCTCCTTGTAACCTTGTAACACGATAGACGTGATGGAGGTCCTGACAAGACGATAACTGTTAAGAAAAGGCTGGGACACCGTTGGTGTCTCCGGTCTGGCTTCATTCTTGACACTGGCGGCATGAGTTTCCTCAGCGGCATCGGTCTCGTCAGAGAGCAGTTGCACATCTGAAAGTTCTTTCTGTGTTTCTTCCGGTTGCTTTGGTGCTGCCTCGGTGTTTCCGGGTTCTTCAGCGGCGGCTGGTGGCTGTCGTGGAGACAATTTAACGTGAATCACCACGCCATATGATTTGTAAAGGCGGTCCTTCTCGTTCATTATACGTGTGACAAAACGCTCCTCGACCGGCAGCGTTTCCGTGTATGAACGAGCCATCCAATCGGCCTTCTCTTCTTCATATACCTTGCGGAGAGCATCTAATTCAGCTTTTACGGACTCTATATGATCTGGGGAACCACGGATTTTGATGTAATTGGCGCCACGCTGACCTCGCTGGGGTAATTGCAGGGAGACCTGGATGAAAAATGAAGCGTGTATTGGAAGGTTATGTTTGAAAAGCCAAGCAATAATGTGGCTACTTATTCGTGATAGGCTGAAAAGCTACTGGTGGCGGTAAACGACACAAAACTTCCCGCGCATAACGGATGACTCGTCACGAAAGAAACACACAAATGAGAACAATGAGGAAGAGAACAACCCAAAACGGTAGAATTAAGGCAATTACTGTTCAGATAATAGAAGAAAAGAACAGAAGAATTTGGATAGCTTTCCGGTCAATATGAGTGTATCGAAAAATGGAGACAAAAAGGTAAACACACGACAGCTCACATCAAACTTAGTTTGCAATTCCATAAGCTTCGTCATGTGGCCATCGAACTGGGCGGTATTCACAACCTCCGATTCTTTAGTGTTTCGTCCGTTCTGATTGGGGGCGTGCTGGTCTCGCCCGGTTTGCTTTTGGAACTTTAGTTTACCAGCATGACGAGGTTGGTCAGTGGAAAAAAGTTTGCCATGAAATTCCTGTGGAAACTCGTAGGTTTCTGTGATAGGCAACAGTGGCAGAAGCTCATTCTTTAGTGCCGCTTCGATCCTTTCAGGACGACCGGTAAGCACAATATAACCATATACATCTCCCTTCTCCCCGTCCAACTCACCTACAAAAAAACAACTGGTAAGAGATGCCGCATGAGATGGATGCCAAATGCCAAAAAAGAAAACAGAACACGGGGACATACCCTTGGAGACGGGGATGAACTGGAAGGTGACGAACACATTGTAGTTTCGTTGGATGTCGCCGAGGCCCGAGCGAAACTTATTAAGGATTTGACAGTGACTGGCCTCAGTAAGTGGATGTTTTACAACGGTCTGGCACTTTAGGTCAGAAACCATGTTTTCGAGACACTGCTGGGCAGCCTGAGTTAACAAGAAAGACAACAATGAAGCAGCCGCTGCAAAGACAGATCACAGGCATAGTCAAGTTGCCTTATCACGAACGGGAGATGACTATATAAAACGGAAAGCTAGGAATGGCAAACTAAAAACAAACCGCCCTTGGTTAATAGGAGACAGTGGAAAATAGCGCATTACTGATCATGAGTAAAGCCGACACAGAAGTGAGGTAGTTAGTTCTGACGACAAGATGAGGTCGTTTAAACATAATTAAGATTACGGATAGATCTACTAACAGATGTCGAAGTTCATGGTTGAAGAACCTGGACGATGGAGGCTCGTGTTTGACATAAATTGTTTAGCAGTTGCGGAAATTTCAAAGACACCATTCAAATCGAAGCAAATTAATGTGGAGTGCAGCAGTAATGATAGTGGTGGTTGTAGTAGTACCCTAAAATTGTCACTGTAAAACTTAGTTTGGGGTAGAACTATGCCTCTGGCTTCAATATTCCATGAAAAGTAGAGGGATAGAAGATTACAGCTAGCAGATCTGGCAGCTGTGGCAAAATTCCCACTAAAAAGTCTCCCTACCTCCACACACGCCTTCGCACCAAAAAGACGGATGGGAACGTCACCCGTCGGTTGCTGTTGTTGAGGTTCTGTTCGTTCCTTTTGGTACCGACGAGCAACGTTGCCAGGGCTGGTGGCGCCAGGAACTTTGGGCCAGACAACCTTCACCCTCTCAAGCTCGGGGTAGTTGAAGCAGGCACGGTAGTTAAGCATATCCCTGATCAAGGAGCTGTCCACTTCAACTGTTGCGTCGACTTCATCCTCCATAGTTTTAATCATCTGTTCAAACTCTTTTTGAGCCTTAGAGACAGATTCCTTCTCGCCAATTATGTGGATTTCGGAGGCCAGCTTTGGGTCGCCTTCGTTGCGGTCAGGGAAGATTATTTCGACATTGTGCTTTTCACGGAAACGCGTCAGATTGGCTCCACCACGACCAATTAAGTGGCCATGGAATTTGGGATCTGCATAGACGGTGACCTAAAGGGTGAAAATGTTGTAGTATTAAATAAATACAGTAAAAAATACATTCTCAAGAAACCGACGATTTCAAAGTGATTGCAGCGCAAGTACAGCTTACATCAGCACACCGTTCCATCATTTTTGCAGACATTGAGTCGATTAGTGACTTAGCCTTCACCAGCGCTTCTGGTGGACCACTGATAACCAGTTGGCGGGGCTGGGCTCTCGAAATCTTGAGTTGTACGCCCTCACACTGTTCGCGAATAGAGCGTAGTCGAACGGCAGGATTGTCGGCAAATTTAGAAAGAAGGAGGGATGGAAGCTGAACCGTTATTTCCTGAATATTGGCCTGGAAGGTAACAAAGCGAATGAATTAGTCACTTTAGAGTATACAGGGCGCAAAATAAAAAAGCACATGTAATACAACATTTTTCCAAATAACAACAGTTGGCAAGCTGAGAAACATTTCATGAACGTCTGCGCTTTCATGGGAGAGTTGCATCCGTCGATCCGATATGATTGCAAAATGGAATACAGACGTTTCATTTTGTCATGGAGTGGCACATGTGAGCCTTTGCAGACGATCACGTGGCACTGAGTGCTCAGTCATATAGGTACAATACAGACTTCAGCTGTCATCTCTGGTTAGCTTGATATCACCAGCCATCCACACTCTAACCCCTGTATATGAATACCTGGAAACTGAGCAATAGTTCAGCACCACCAGTGGGTAAGCTTTCGAGGCCTAGGTCATCGATGAGGCTGGAATAACGAGAGCTTACGCATTATTCTAAAGCGGATATCCAAGTCGGACATATTTTTGTCAGTCGTCTTAGACCAAGGGTTTTCGCTGAACACACGTTTTTCTGGGTGGATTTTCTGTTTGGCATCCAATACGTGCATCAACCGAGTCAAAATTTCAAGTTGTGCGCGATTTATACTTTCGGAAAGTACGTCACTGTCAGTAGAATCATGTGATACCTGTCGCAATCTTCCACAACGATAACTTGGAAGCTGATTCTGGCTCACTTTTTCGTCGACCGGCAGGCTGTGGAAAGTGACCTGGTCCCTTATCTACAATGGCTAACAGCTTTCCTACAGAATTCAGTAAGTAGTCACTATAAGCAACTCCAATATATTGTTGGTTTGGTTGTGAAGTTGACTTAGTAGATCTGCGGCCCAGGCTTTTCAACCAGGGAGGAAGTTCTCTTATGCGCTGCGACTATCAGTGAGGCACACGTACGGCCGTTAGACCATCAAAATCGGAAAGGTTAGACGTGATCTAGACTTCATGTCTCCAACTACCGATCCTAAGTGACCTATCAGTGGTGCATGATTTTTCCCCCTTTTTGATACGCACACACCCGTCTACATCTTCGTCAGTCAAGAACTTGACATGAGGTAGTAAATGAGTGGAACTAAATGTGCAGACAAATGCCGGCGCTGTTGCCGCCGCCAGTTAGAAAGAAGAATAGCTACCTATGAGCAAGAAGATAAAAGCAGAAAAAATGCGGACGCTTACAAGAGATTTTTGTAACTTCTCAAGCCGTTGGACGGCCGCCTCAACGTTCTCCTGGCGACCAATAATGACCACGACCTGTGAACCGTCTGCAGACGCAGGCGTGTAGTGGATGCGCGTTTTTGTCTCCTCTAACAGACGTACAATCGTGGCACCCAGCAAACGCTGGAGACAATCCTTGAAAAGACGGATCTGTTGGAAAGATTTGTGGAATTTTGTTTTGAAGGCCAAAAGAGAACGGACAGGTGCTAGTACGCCAGAACAAGATTAATATGCATACCTCTTGCTCGTAGTTCTCCTCCTTGACCTGTTTAATGAGCTTATGCAGGCGGTCGGACGCAGCATCCACCTGATCTCGCACACCGTTAAGTTGCACGATGAAGCTGACGGACGAACTGTCTGCAGCATCAGTATTCCTTCGGCGCGGCCCCGAGACATCAGGCCAAAGGATTTTGACCTCAGGAAAATTCTCCTCTATTTGTCGGATAGGGGGAGGATTACCAATCCGAAGCAGCTTCTGGATACGGGGATCGACAATCATATCCTTCGTTTTCTCATTTTCCTATAGAGAAAGAAATAACTGCCATAGAAGCTGCCCACTATAGTTTATAATCGAATCGGGGTTGGTGATAAGGAGTGGCCTACCCATGTTATGCAGGAGCGTGGAGCGAAACCAGTCTTATTGACTCCGCAGAACTCGGCTGCCGTCTACTTAGCATTCAACTTATAGGACCAGACAAGTTATAATAGGTGAATGATTCCCAGCGCCTCTGGGAAAAGATACGATGGGCACGTACTATGTTAGTAAGTTCAACTCGGCGGGCCTCCCAATCCAGTCTAAGTTGGTTTACTTCACGCGTTACTGCCGGGCGGGACTCGTAATTAAACTGCGTCTATCATCCTGTTGTTAACACAGTGCAAACGAGTGGCGCTGGCTTTTCTAGGTTCATGTTTTTTTATCTAAGAAACGCTCGATATCTGTCACCAAACGCTGGCGCATATGCGGGAGGTTTAAATTGGACGTAGAATGGGAGGATGCGGGCACGCGGAGACTCGGTCCAACTCTTTCCGTAGAATGTTAAATGCGGTAGGTGACGGATTAAAAAAGGGACCAGTTCTGTACAGAAATCAACAGTACACAAGCATTCCATGTAGTAGGGCAGAAAGGTGTTTTGTAGATTTGCAAATGTGCTCTTACCAAAAACAGTTGCATTGTTGAAGGACACAAGCTAAGGGGGAGCACAGAATAGCGAACGAAGTCGACTATTCCTTAGTGGTGTACCCACAATAAGTCGGCTAACAGGATGACCACCAAATGACTCCGGTCATAATACGGCCTCGGGTAAGCCACGTAGTCCGTTAATAAAATTTAGTCAAACATGCAAGGGCTTCGGTCAATTAGTCAACACTTGACGTCCCCTGGTGATAGAATTTGATAAAGTATCGGGTTCTGAATAAGAGATAACGGGGTCGCAGCACAGTTAGGTGCGACAATGAGGACAACGCTCGAGCAAAAATAAGGCACGTACTAAAAAAAAAAGAGGCAATAAACGGTGTACAACTGACCAGCTTGTGTATCAGTCTTTCGATCTCTGCCTTTACAGCCTTGACATTGTATTCCTCACCCTCAAGATAGACTACGTTCGGGTCTTCCGGTTTTCCAACCTCAGTTGCGGACGGAAGTCGAACGTCGTAGCGGTTGGAGCGTATAAACTGCATAATGCTACCTTGGCTACCAAGCAACTTTTCGTGGAACTTGGAGTCGACTCTAACTGATTCAACGTAAAAACTTGCAGACAGCTGATTTATCCTGGCCTTTAAGCGGTCCACAATCACTGCAACTTCCTCAGGAGGACCTTCAACCAGAATTTTATCACTGTTGTTTTGGAAGTCAATCCGGACCTAAAACAGGTAAAATGCCAAGGACGCGTTTCATAAAAAAGCAAGAGGAAAGTATCATGGCGAAAGTCGGAGTAGTCTTTCATAATACAGTAGTAAGTAACGTCAGAAATGCAAAAGGAAAAGGCTTGCCTGGTCCAAGTGCAATTATAGTACCTAGGTGACATGGACAAATACGCCTAGGGCAAATGGAGTGAGGGTGCAAAGAGAACAATGGGTTTTCTATCAGTCATATGGTGCAGGATATGTGATAAGTAGAACCTCAACGTGGTGAGCTTTAAGAAGCATGCAAACTACAGGCTTGATATGATTTTATGGAAACAGCCATAGCGATTACATCTGAAAAAAATGCATCTAAACAAAGATGTAAAATGGCCCAAAAAAGCGTAGGACAACAGTAAACTACTGAACATAGGCGAATTGGGTACAACTTACTGCCTCATAACCCTCTCGAAGAGAAGACAAGGAAGCTCCTTTTCTGCCTATAAGGATTCTGTGGAGCCTCTGCGGCGCAGATATCTCCTCCGTCGTGGAAGATGATGCTCGTTTAAAAACCATTGTCAGGGCGCGGCCTAGGTCTTCTGGAAAACCTCGAAGCGTGAACTCGTCGCTGTCAGAATCAACAGGCGGTTCTAGCGAGACGTTAGTCTCCTCAAGAATTTTCTGGATGCCAGAATTTCGGTCACCAATCACCATGCGATGTTTTTCGCGTTGAATCACGGCTGGAATAGTAGTGCACCGTTCAGCTCTGGACTTGTATATTTTCAATATTTCTTGTACAGCCTGAGCTACTTCCTTCCGCTTCCCAGAAACAGCCACGTGGTCGCCTGGTGGGAATGAGATGACGACGCCCGCTCGTTCCCGCCACTCGTTAACAAATTTATTTCCTCTTCAAAAATAAGAGAAGAAACAGCGCAAGGAAATTTCAAACACTTGAGAACGAATGAAACTAACTGGTTTAATGCACAGCTACAGGCGGCTCTAAACTAAGGTGAAAATATTTCGTTGTACGAATAAGGATTTGGGAGTTGGCCTAACGAGTACCCGTGAACAACAAAACCAGAACAGATAGGTCAACAAACAGAAAGATTGAGTGATGGATAGGCGGTGTGTCAGTGTAAAGCCATCACAGATGAATAGTTGGGCTTGTCCAACTCAGGCGATCTCGGGGTGGTATTAGGTTCAGTTCATTAGTCAAAATAGCGAATCCCAGCTGTAATATGCCAACAGAACACGAAAACGGAGTAAGGAGTTGCCTGGTTGTGTTTGCTTTGAGGTACTCGTCTGATGGACGAGCTTGTCGGACGCCGGACACCCTATTCAGTTCAGCCTGGATTGCAATTTGTACATGACAAAAACCAGAGTGTAATCGATGTTTAGTAAAATGGGCCGCTTAAAAAATGCAATGGGTAATCAGAACATAAGTTCCTTTGGCACACGGGTTTCATCGGGTCGTTGTAATAAAGCCTACGTGTAATTGAGAGCGCTGAATGGACCTGATTTTCTGCGACGTCAACAGGCTGCCAGCGATCACAAAAGTGGAAAAACACTTAAGGCAGAAAACTCCTAAGTTAAATAAACGTGACAGAGAAAAAACGGAACTTACGGTCCACGAATAAAAGGGTGGTATATTTTGGGAATATCCAGTTTTTCGTATGCTTGTTGGGCGTGATGGTCAACAATGCGACGAACTTCCTTTTCGGCAGCATCGAGATAGGCCACTGGACCAGTCAGCGTTATCTCATTTAGGTTTTTGCTTGGAGGTGGCACAGAGATCCTGGTCATTGTATCAGCCTCTAACTGGCGTTTTCGTTCGCCGTTACGTCCAATTAGGAAACGGTGAAATTCAGTGGGAACTTTTATTGTCTTCGTTGCCTGAGCAGAAAGGTTAATGTGCTGTGTACATGAGAAGTCGTCCGTGTTTTAAACTAGATTAATTCCACAATAGTTAACTGACAAAAACGTAGCTGGCTAAGAATGCAAATAAGCTGACGTGTGCAAAAATAATGGGAAATTGGAAGGTTTGAAGTCAACACCCCCATCTGTAAAGCTAGTCACTTTTTTTAAAAAACTAGGTTGTGGCGTCTAAAGAACGAACTGTGTGGTCTGAAACAGACTGGCTTTCATGCAGGCAAATGAAAAGGACTATAAGTTGGAGGAGGAATGTGGTGTTTTATATCAAGGTGAACGAGAAAGCGCCTACGTCAAGCTGCAGAAAACAATGCAGTCTCAAACCTACCTGCTGTTGGAGATCCTGGACAACTAGACACTTAGCGTGAGCGACGTCATTCTTGGAACCGGTGAGGAAAATGTTTAGGGAGTTCAGTTTCGAATTGGCAATTTCAATCTTTACGCCTGTAGCTCTAGCAATGGTTGCACACACCCTAGCAGCCTCGAGAGGGACACCGTCAGCTTCACCGCAACCTTGCTGTCGTCTTTCTTCCCAGGGAATTTCGATACTCTAGAGGAAAAGGCATATCCAAAGGGATGGTTCAGTGACTTACTTCCGTTACCGTGGCCGGTTTGAAGGACTCGAGACCATTTGAAACTATATGCTGTGTCGGACTGCTTGTCGGAAGTGCAGGAAAGGCTTCATCATAAAAATGGCATTCAATATTCGATTCAGGGTGTCCAACTTCCATTTTAAACTCGGAACTTTATGTGACAGCCCGTGTGCTGCTATCCGTCGATATTGAGGTGGTGTAACGCACACAAATACACAAACGTGGTACGGCAAACTAAAACAAGTTTCACAACCTAACAAGGCCACTGTTTATTTAGCGGCTGCTTATATTTAATAATTCCTCTTAACAATATGCACAGGTTACAACTCAACTTTGGCACAAGTGTCTGCTCCGTGTAGATCAAAGAGAACAGTTGTGGTTTTGACCATTGCAGAAACTTTTTCAGGATGGACTCTGAATAGGACAGAGAATGGATATCAGTTACAGCCCCCGTTTACAAAGTTACAGACCTACAGGATAGTGGGAATAACAAAGAGAAAAGGGATATAGCGAGGTTTAAGGTTTCAGTCAAGGCGCAGGGGTCTGCGTGCTTCCAGATAGGAGATACTATGTGAAGGGATGCCAGATGGCACTGGCGTTATTGCTCCGCACAGTCCTTAGCTGGCGCCAAACTCTCATTTGTAGTCGTCCAAAGCTAGGTTCCGTCTAGCGGTCTTAGCCTTCCCTTAACCACTTTGGCTGGCAAGTTAAAGTAGATGAGAACACCGAGTATGTGTTTATGAATACACATCCGGTAATCCAGTTTCCCGTCCCTTTCTTCCTATAACCCTTCAATTAAAAATCTTCCGGAAATGACGGCATGCAATCCGCTAAACGGTCTAGCTTTCTTAAAGTCGTCTCCAGGTTACCGAAAAATTCTAACGCGTAAAGGACTTCAGCTGTTGTCTGGGATACCCAGAAACCCTTACTTAAGGATAGCACTGCTTGCACTATCGGGAAAGAAATGCCCTAAAAATGCCGACAGATGATGCCATCCAAAGGCCGATTGTGTTTTGTCAGTGCAGAAAAGTCGAAACAAAACTCTGAGGAATCACGCCCATGCCCAATTTCACCACACAGGTGGTTAATGAGACCCTGCTCGGTCTACCAGTCCGCAATGTTGGTTGTCTTTCAGAAAACCTGTGGAATGTCCGGCCGGAAAGGAGGACGGTGCTAGCCCCTCAATAACTGACGCGTCCTTAGTTGGACACCTCAGCCCTCAGCAAGGTCCGCTTATCCAAACAGAGTCAGCTTGGGAAAACTTGCTCGCCCAGTTTTCGACAGAAGTCGACTTTTACAGCATGACTATGCACAGCCATTTTTGTAAAAAAAACCTCCGAAATTATTTACAGTGACCTTATGCACTATCTTATGATTACGATTGAACTGTGACTCGATCACATTGTAAATGACTGCAATTTTGTTTTTTAGTACGAATCTGCGAAGACACTGTACATAAATAGGGTCATCAAGGGCTCTGCCTCTAACCCTATAAATATATACATATATACATACAAGTGGTTACCGGGTTCACCTTCTTCTGAAGAGGTTGACCAATGGCATATCGATATGAAGTTGCCATAGTCTTTGTTATCTGAACGGGACGTAAGCTAATCTGAGCGAAATGCTATAAATACACTCATTTTTGGTATTAGTGACTTGGAGAATTGAGTACATTGTGTTGTGGCCGATCCTGTTTCGTGCCTCGCAGTGCTGGATTTGAAAAAATTTCAATTTCAATTTAATTTATTAAATGCCAGTTTACAGGCATTGTCAAGGGAAGCGATTAAACACAAATCCGACCAGCAGTGAATAAAAAAACTCCTGAAGTTTCAAAATATAGTCGATGATGGTTTTCAGGGTTTGAAGGGTTCAGGAGAAAAAAAACTGTTGGCGGTAGATTTTCGACCGTCAAGAGGGGGTGGGGAGGGGGTTGCACGGTATCGGAGATCATCGGACGTCAATTCCTTTCATGAAGTTGGGGATAGTCAAAGAAGAGGCGTTGAGGAACAGCTGGTGAGACCGGCCATAGTGTTCAGAGACCACAAACGCCATCGCTACGGTACAGTCGATCAGTGGATTCAGAATCCAAAATATGAGGAAGCTTTTCTGAATGCAAAAATCGAGTAATAGTTCTCTTAAATAATGGATAATTTTGCAGAGTTTTCACACTCATGGGTAGTTTATTCCAAATAGCAATCGCATTTACAGAATAGAACCGACGATATTTAACAGCACGTGCCAGAGGCAGAAATAAGAAGACCTCACGGTGACTGTTACGTCGAGGATGGATATGATGTCTTAAAGAAGTGAGTGGGTTAAACGTGTGATTATATAAGAGTTTTAATAGCAAAAATAGTCCATTTTGTAATCTACGGAATCATAAAGTATCAAGGCCCGTAAGCCGGCAACGTTCTTGGTAAGACAAATGTCGGTGTTCCGGGGTTAAAACTCTCTTGGTAAAAAAGTGTTGAATAGGTTCTATTTTCTTTCGCTCAGTAGCACGCATGAGGCTTAATAAAAACAAACAGTATTCCAGGCCAGGTCTAACGTACATGTTGAAAAGGCGCATTCTAATGTCCCTAGTTTTAAAGTTTCGGAGGATAAACCCGGTCGTTCTACGTGCTTTGGAGACTATCAAGACACAGTGCTCCGAGAGATTGAGACTCTTGGAGTATGATATGCCCAGATCCTTAGTTACCCTGGGCACATTTATGGAGTGACCTTCAATATTTAGTTGAGGTTGGTGTTTGTCGCCAACCACCATGACTGAGCACTTATGCCAAGAAAGAGAAAGGCGCCATGTGCGGCACCACTGGGCGAAAGCCTGTAGATCGCTCTTTAGGAGCTCAAGCACGATGTCACGATCTGCCGGCTTATATCGATATGCAACTTTAAGATCATCGGCATACATGAAAGGCTTAGCATTCTGAAATAAATCGGGTACATCATTAACGAAAAGGCAAAATAGAAGTGGGCCGAGTACACTACCCTGAATGACTCCACTCCTCACACGTGTGGGGTTGGAGATATTATTGGAAATCTTAACCCGTTGTGTGCGAGTGCCCAAATAAGAGGATATAAAATTCAAAAGTTTGCCACCTATTCCGAAAGAGGACAGTTTCGAGAGAAGAAGAACATGGTCTACACGATCAAAAGCCTTAGTGAAATCGAAATATACTGTGTAAATGCAAAACCATTGTCCCTAGATTGGAGAACATAGTCAAAGAAAGAGAGTTGACAGGTGTCACAAAATCGAGCTTTGAGGAATCCATGCTGAGCAGCACTCATTAAGTTATTCACTGTCAAGTGACGCATCATCTTATCCTTGATCAATGTCTCTAAGATCTTTGAAACTGCGGGGAGGGTGTTTATTAGCCGAAAGTCATCAAATGATGGTGATTTGCCATGCTTAGGAATGGGCAAAATGTGTGATTCCTTCCACAAGGTAGGATAGGTTTCACTTTCAAGAGCAAGATTAAATATCTTGCATAAGAGGGATGGGAAGACCGTGTTTGCATCGGCTTTTAAAATGCTTACTGGGACACCATCAGGGCCTGGACTATAAGATTGACGAAAACGCCGAATCGCAACAGTCACATCCCACAGAGTGAGTTATAGTTTCTAGAACTGACCCGGTCAATGGCTGGATGGTCGGAAGCGGAGTGGTCGAGTCTTCAGTGAACGTCTTGGACAGGAAATCATTGAAGCTATCAGCGGTTAACTGGGCATCAACTATGGGATTTCCGAGAGCGTCTCGGAGGATGGGATGCTGCGTTTTTCTCTGAGTTCGTATTTTTCTAGAGAAAAGTTTCGAGACATTTAACGAATGGTTTTCGGTAAACTGGACTTCTTCGGCTAGCGGTTTTTCTTCGGACAATCTCTTAGCTAGATCAAAAATACCACGAATCAAGGGCAGAACAGAAACATCGTTCAGACGATGGAAACGACGATAAAGCCTGCGCAATCTGCGACGGAAGGGTAAGGGTAGGAAAACCTCATCCCCAACATTAGTAACTTTCTTACGGGGGACATAACAAGCAATAAGCGGATCCAAAATTCCGTACAGATTTGCAGTGCAAACATTTACATTCGAACTAAGGAAGAAATAAGTCCAGTCGTAGGAATTAAGGTGTGTTAATAATTCGGTTGAGCGAATTGATCGGAAATTGCGGAAAAGGCTATACTTTGGGGACGACGTTTTGTCAGCCTCGAATTCCAACGTTGAAACAACTGTGTCATGGTCTGAGCCTCCAGTGGGCCTAGGGATGACACTGAAGATGGCATGCAGCCTCTAGAGAAAATTAGGTCAAGTATGCTTGAGCCTCGGGTGGGAAAATCGACAACCTGATTCCACATCCCAACATCTGCAGCCTCAAGACAGTCTTCGAACCTTCTTGGGCATGCATACGGCTCGTAAAATTACTGACTACCGACTGGTTTACAATAGTGTGGTGACGCCTTTTTTCAGTTACGATAGTTAAAAATTGCACTGGATTTCGGCAGATACTGCGGGAAGAACTTGAGTTAATGGAGACGCTCATCAATAATGTATCCAAATGACCCGACGGAAAATTTTACGTGGCTGGTGGTACACACTTCGTCGACCACACTGCTGGCAGCATCAACGAATTCCTCTATGACCCAAAGGCCCAGAGCATAGTTAATTTCTCGTACGATCGATTTTAGGACTTGAACTCTGTCGATCTGGCTGCCAAGGACGATGCATGCAAGGATTGACACATAAGTTGCAAAGCAAATACGGCTGAATCCACTGAACGACTCTACGTAGCGATGGCGTTCGTGGTCCCTGAACAATATGGACGGTCTCACAAGCTGTTACTCAACGCCTCTTATTTGAATATCCCCAAAAAACCATTGGTATATATACTGCTGGGAGGCACATGAAATGACCGACAGTTCTCTGGCTACGTGGGCACTTGGTCATGCATCAATCTATGGAGGCCAGTTGCCTAGGTGAATGTTAGTTACTACACTGAATTGTGCTATGAGGTGAACGAACGACTGAATGAAGCAATGTGGAAGGCATGGGTAGTCTAGCATGCTTCAGGGTTGTAGGCAATGCCATTGAAAGCCCCATGTTACACATGGCAAGCGTGATAGAAATGGTTTGCATG